AAAAAAAATATTAATATTGTGCGCTGGGAATTTTAAGCAACACGTGCCATGAGCTGTTTCTTCCGCTTATTTGTAAGCTGCAATTATTGGCTGTTGTAATTCGTTTTCGATGACAAATTCCAAACAGCTGACCCGTCTTAATCTTATCGCAAAAAAAAAGAAATCAGAAAAAACCAGAACAAAGAATGGAAAGTTGAGCAGTAGAAAAAACAATAGTTACACAATATTATCTTTTCACTGACTTGGGCAAACTTAGTTCACCATAATTTAACCAAAGGCAAATTTTGGGTTATAAATATGCGTATTTAGCTTGTGTGTGTGTTTGTGCTTAGTTAAGTTTGTTATTTATGCAAGTGAAATTAATTCTGGGGGCCCTGAAAGTGGGAAAACAAAAATAAGCGAGTGATTCAATTCGAGCAGAACATGCAATCGCCTAGATTGTGTGTTTATTTTGAAAATTGCCACAAAATGATGGAGGTTTTCCCTTCCCGTGTGAGCAATGTTGAACCAACAATTCAATATACCTACATAGTTTATTCAGAGTTTATTCAATTTCAATAGAGGGATTTTGTGTTTGCCTTTGGATGGGGGGTGGAAATAGAAACTTTTTCAATTAGCCGCCTGCTGCACAAGGGGATAATGCAATAATCGCTGCTCAAACTTTTTCATTATGCATTTGCTGGCCTGACCATCATCATTGAGTTTCCCCCTTTCCTCCTCTACTTTTGCAGGCCAGCACCGGCAAAATGGATGGCAATCCACTATCGGAAATAGAAGAAATTGTCAAGACGACAACGGTAAGTGGTCTTCAGTCGCTGAAGGTGGAGAGCAGGACTTAAATCTGAATCAATTTTCTAATCTGCAGGAGCAACACGAGTCCAACAGCCGCGTGGATGGCGGCGGAGGAGCGGAAAACGCCAGCACCAATGGCCATGGACGCGCCCACGACAACAATGAAGAGGTGAGTGGATGATTAGGGAGTTTGTCCTTGTGGCTAAACTAACAAATATGTATGCCAAACAGGGCCACGCTGCTCTATCGGACAAGGCGGCGGCGCTGAGGAAGCGGCAGTGCGTCTTCGCGGAGCTCATGTCCACGGAGGAGGCCTATGTGCAGGATCTAAGTGACGTGGTCAATGGGTAAGTGGTTAAAATATTGCACAAAGCATTTATTTATTAACCTTTTAACTCCATTTCAATATCCCCCTTTTCAGTTACATGACAGAGATCAACAACACGAACAGTGATATACCCATGCCCGAGGATTTAAAGGGTGGCAAAATGAAGTTGGTCTTCAACAATATCAAAGACATTTACGAGTGGCACAAGGAGTGAGTATAAATTAATATAAATTAAAGTGTTTGAAAATGCACAGACAGCTTTTAGCACCCCTGAAATAAATTATCAAGCCTGAAAACTTATTTATTAAAATATTTCTTACTTTCAGCTTCTTTTTGAGGGCCCTGCGCAACTGTCAAAAATCGCCAGCGGATTTAGGTCCACTTATCAAGCGCTCGGCCACCAAGTTCGCCCTCTACTACACCTATTGCAGTAATAAGCCGCTGTCTGAGTACATAGTCAGCGCCCACTATCAGTATTTCGATTGCATACGCCAGAAGCTGGGACATCGCCTGGATGTAAGTGAACGTAACTAATTGGCTGTGCTAAATGGATGCATGCTGAAAAACAAAACTAACGTCTCATCTTATCTCTCTAATCCCCAGCTGAGCAACCTGATCATCAAGCCGGTGCAGCGAATTACCAAATACGAACTGCTGATCAAGGAGATCATCAAGGCCACCGAGGGGGCGGGTCTGCAGAAGGAGGTGCCCATGCTGCAGGAGGCCTACCAGCAGATGAAGGTGGTGGTCAAGACGGTGAACGATATGATGGTGGTGTTGCGCAGCCTGCAGGATTTCGATGGGGAGATCACCGCCCAGGGCAGCCTGCTGATGCAGGGACCCATGAACTGCCTGGTGGATGCGGCCCAGCGGCAACGGGAGCTGCAGGTGTTCCTCTTCCAGCAGATCATCATCTTTGCGGATATTGAGAAGACCAGGAATCAGTACTCCAGTCCCATATTCAAGTACCGTTCGCACATACAGGTAATATAAACTATTTAAACTATTTATGGAGTGTTTACTAATATCTGATTTTTCCCGCCAGCTCAATCACATGCAAATGAAGGAACTGGGCGACTGCCGTTTTCAAATCCGGTCCACTGACCCCAAGATACCCGAGATGACCATCATCTGCGAGGCGGGGTCGAACTACGCGGCCTGGGTGGATATGCTCAACAAGATCCTGCAGCAGCAGAACGACCTCATCTTCATGCTCTCCAATCCCCTGTCGACCAAAAACAAGTAAACACGCCGCCCGAGGAAACAAATTCCAAATGACAAAGCAGAAATATTGGAAAAGTTGAACAGTTAAGAAGCTTGAAAGCTTAAAAGCTAGAACAACAATGAGAAAATGATATTGTAATGTGTTTTGGGCACAGGGTTTTCCGCCTCTGTGAGAGTCTGTTTAGCGGATCCAAAGCCCAGAAACACACTCGCAACACTCAATCCTAATTTGTATGTAACTTGTAATTGTAATTTATTTATTATTATTCGTCATCACCTGAGTTTCCGTTCCGTCTGCCCTTTAGTTTCTAGTTTGAGCCTCTGTTTCTCTTCTGTTTTTGTATTATTCTATTTTCGTTTCCGTTTTCCGGATTTGTGTGTATGAAACGCCAAGTATTATATGCTCAAGATTACCTTTGACATTGTGTGCATTTTTAACTTAATTAGACTCCTTTGCAGTTAGTTTTACTCTTCCACATCTGAACTCTCAATCGAACGGCAGTCGGCAGTCGAAAACTACTCAGAATCAAAAGCAATTAACATTTTCGTTTCGTATTTTTATTCGCATTAAACGCAGAGTAAGAGTATAACTATTCTAGCCTTAGTTTTCGGTACATAGTTTTAGTTCTACCTGCTAAATGTTAATCATAGTTTAAACGTAAACGTAACTGGATTTGCTTTGGCCAACCCAGAGCAGAGATTTGTGTAATGGCACTCGTTCGAGTGCGGCATCGTGAATTAATTTAAGCCTAAGTTTAGTCTATGAATGCAATGCAAAGCGTATTTGTACTTTATGTTTTACAAAATAAAATATGTAAGCTTTAAACGTAATCAAAAGAAAACCAGAAACCCTAAGTTTTTAATTATTCTAATTTTAAATTATGCCCCGAAATAAAACAAATGCCTGCTCAGATGTAATTCTTTTTGGTTTTTCGCATCCGTTTCAGTTAATATCTTGATCAAAAAAGGACAAAACACTTTGTAGAGTAAGCAGTCATCAAAAATGGAAACCCAATACCTTATAGATACCACATAAGCGAAACCAAGCTGTATACCCAAGCCAATTTTTCGAAGCATATTTCTCTAATCGGTGTCTGTGCGTTTATGTTAGTTGGTAAGCAGGAGCAAAATGCAGTAGTAGGGATAGTGTACAGTGTAGCATACGAGGATAAGTCAGAGTCACTCGCTCGCAAACAAAGTACTCAAACAGGACCAGGATTTGATTAAACGATTAACTGTATAGGACATGAGACGAAGTTACTAAGCGCGGTTGTTCATACGATATACTTTCGAATCGATTTTGTCTCTCTCTAGAGCTTGAAAGCTATCGATATTTTCCATATTTTAACATCATTGGTTCGATAATAGTGAGATATTCTTTCAAGCTCTACCACACTCACGCACGGATACACCCGGTACAGTCTGGAACATGATTATGAATGCAATTTGAACATATATCAATGCGAAGAATAACAATAATGATTTAGCATAGCTAAATGTAGGAAGCGAACATGAAATGTATTTTTTTACAAAAATTGTGAAACGAACCTCCGGCATAATTCGTAATTAAATGTTAGAGGATCTGGGGATCTCAGGATCCATGGATCGGCAGGCAAACGCACAGTGAGAGGAACTCAAATGGCCACAACATTTTCTACATTTTTGCACTTAACTCGTAGAGCTCTACTCAACTCACAACCAATCGATCGATCGCAACATGTAACATACTGAATTCTTTTCGATTAATTAATTAATGGCACTTACCGATTAACTAATTGTTGTACTTAAGACCCAAAGCGCCCCCCAGGTCGAAATTCTAGATAATTGTGGTAATTAAAGTGTGTGTTTTAGTTTATCCAATTACTCGGACTAAATATAAATACAAATATATATATTACTTGCAACTGCAATGCGAACAGCATAAAGTAAACGTGTTAATCTGTGTTTTAGCCAAGTAAGCCAGTAACCAGCCGGGTTTTCCCTTTGGAAAACGCTCGGAAAATGCCAGTCGAGATCAACAGCTTGGCCCGGGCGCAGGCTGCGAATATAATAATCAGGGACCGTAAATAATCATTATTTGAGATTTTTATTTTAAAAAGACTACTGTGATATTTTGTTTTAAACGTCAAAAATAACGTTCTTTTTACTCTTGTCCACAAAGTATATGCATTTCAACAAATCTGGAAAGTAAATTAACTGTTATTTGTTCATGTCTATAAAGTGCATAAAAACCAGTTCAATTGTCGATTAAAACTTGTAAAGTTCTCAGTAGGCCTTTTAAAATAAAAATCTCAAATAATGATTATTTACGGTCCCTGATAATAATATGAATATATCCAGAAAAACAATATGCAAATTGTATGTAACCAACAAAGCATGTAATCTGAATTTAAAATTTTCAAAGTGAATAATAATAAAGCAAAAGTAGCTGAATAAACTTAACATATTCAAGAGAAACGTTTTTGAATTTAGAGGATCGTAAAAGAATAATTTTTGTTTAATAATTAATTTTTTTTTTTTTTTGTGATTATAAATTTTATTTTTGTGCGTAAAAATACATAACTAAAAATTGTCAATATATCGTTTTGGAAATTTGAATTAAGCGGGCTTTTACTGGTTCCAATTTGAACCAGCACGACTCCACAACCAGCTATATGTTAAAGTCCATCTCCAGTTTGGTTGCATATCGATCTCAGCTGCTCCTCCTTTACGCCGGGTACGTGTTGTTTTTGGTTAACTTTATTATATTTCATTATTATTTTATTTTTTGGCAGCTCAAAACCGAATACGCCGATCATCTGAAACACGCTTTATAAGTTCTTCGAGATGAAATCATCAAAAATGCTGAGGCTGGCCTCATTTTCTTTGTTGTCCGTCATTATTCTGGGGTCGCTCGGATCTTTGGCGAGCTCACAAGATAACCAATACTGTTCAAAGTCGCAGCCAGTCAGCATGGACCTTCTTCCTGAAATCAATTCTAAATTGGAGGACTTGGAGGAATTGGTCCACACCAAGCTGGATGACCTGAAGGACCAGCAAGCTGCCCTTCTTGAATCTTTTAACAACATGCAAAACACTCTACACGCAATTCTTACCAAAAAAGATGGTCCCGAAGCCATTCCTCAAGAAACTGATGTCGAAAATTATGAGAAAACAATTCCGCCGAAGTTTGAGCAAATTGGCACAAGGTATTTCTACATTGAGGATAATCAAAGGCTTAATTGGACTGATGCCGCAGCCGCTTGTCATCGGATGGGTGGTTACTTGGCTGGCATCAAAAACCTAAAGGAACTGTATGCCATTCAATTGAAACTAAATGATGGTTTTAGTTACTGGCTTGGCATCAACGATCTTGCCACCAAGGGTAAATTCATATCAGTAGCATCCGGAAAACCAGCCGTAACTTTAAAATGGGGGAGCATTCGCCCGTTTAACAGTAGGATGTGCGTTTTAGTACAAGACGTTTTAATGTACGATATAGACTGTGATAATCACTATCGTTTTATTTGTCAAGCCGACAACGAAATATAGGCTGAGCAACGATATAGTAGAATATTATTGTAATTCTATGAAACAAATTTTTCCACGAACAAATTTCTTAAAAACTTCTGTTTTCTTGTCACTTAAAAAATATTTTAAAATTATAAATTTTTATTGAATTAAATAAAATGGTTTTATAATTGGCCAAAAAAACAGTGCGCTTTCACTTACTAAGTTATCAATTCAAGTTATATAGCTTACACACAAAAAAATTGATTGGTAAAATTAACCAGTATATATAAACCAATAAACCTTAACTTTCATTTGTCAAATATATAAAGAGAATACACTTTTAGTGTTTTGTAGTCAATAAAAAGCATTTTCTGTTTTATTTGGGTTCAATAAATTAAGACTAGTTATAAAAATGCTATCAGTTTTGAGCCAGCTGTGCGCCAATTGATCTACCTTCTGTCGGTTCCGGGACTTTTTCGATTCCTGGGCTTTTAGGACACCTCTTTCTTCAGACTCCCCGACGTGCCTGCCCCTCGTCGGGAGTCTCGGATCCTGCGGATGCAGCTGCAGCCTGGTGCAGCTGCTTCAGCTCGTTGTAAAGCCGCAGGGCGAGCTGCATGTTGGGCGCCCACTGGCGTCCCGGCACCTGGTGCTCCTTGGGCGGCTGGACGCACATCTTGACCAGCTTCTGGAGCGCCTTCGAGAGCCGCACGCCGCTGAGCAGGCCGGGCTGGAAGGTGCCGCCGCCCAGGAGGATGTGCTCGCAGAATATCTGGAAGTTGTTGTTCTGCTGGATGTGCGTGCACAGCTGCTTCTCCTCGTCGCACAATCCCCGGCAGGAGTGGAAGTGGCAGTCCTGGTGGGCGTGGCACTTGACGCCCCGCGACAACCGCTTGTCCAGCTGGCTCTCCACGTAGACGTGCTCGGCGCTCTGGTACTTCAGCCTTCTTTCGGAGGCTGTGCCGAAGCGATTCACCTGCATCTTGCACATTTTCAGGGGTTCCGGCTTCATTTCATCCAGGCGGAATATGTACTCCATAATGTTGAGGGCATGCTTCAGGCGCTGCAAGCGATTGGAGGCTCTGAAAAGGGTTATTAAAAAGGTCAAAAGGGGTTTAGGCCGGGGAAAGGAATATCACCCACAGATACTGCATAATGCTGGGGTTGGACTGCACGATCTGCAGTCCCTCGGTGGCGTAGTACGGTCCACAGGAACCGAGAACTGCCGGGAATATGGACTCCTCGTCGAAAAGCTTGCCCATCATGTAGTTGTTGTCTTTGAACAGCCGCCAAAAACTGACCATCTGCTGCGAGTTGTCATCGGCGATTTCCTGGTTAACCAAAGCCCGGATCTGTATATGAAAATTTTAAAATAAGATTTAGGATTCAAACGTTCAACTCCATCCCCTAGGCTACAATGCAGTTGTAATTTTGGAAGTTGGAAATTTGGAAAGGGAGTTATAAATGGAGTTGTAGAATTGAAAATGGAAATGTAGTTTTTTAGAATTGAAAGTGGAGTTGTAGAATTGGAAGTGGAGTTGTAGAATTGGAAGTGAAGTTGTACAACTGGAAGTGGAGTTGGTAATTTGTAAATGGAGTTGTAGAATTGGAAGTGGAGTTGTAAATTGAGTTGTAGAATTGAAAGTGGAGTTGTAGAATTGGAAGTGGAGTTGTAGAATTGCAAACGGAGTTGTAGATTTGGAAATGGAGTTGTAAAATTGAAAAAGGAGTTCTAAATGGAGTTGTAAAATTGGAAGTGGAGTTGTAGAATTGGAAGTGGAGTTGAAGAATTGGAAGTGGAGTTGTTAATTTGGAAATGGAGTTGTAGAATTGAAAGTAAAGTTGTATATTTGTAAATGGAGTTGTAAATGGTGTTTTAAATGAAATTTAAAACTCCACTTCCAATTTTACAACTCCATTTCCAATTCTACAACTCCATTTACAACTCCACTTCCAATTTTACAACTCCATTTAGAACTCCTTTTCCAATTTTACAACTCCATTTTTAAATCTACAACTCCAACATATCTACAGCTCCTTTTCCAAAACTACGACTCCTTTTACCAAATCGCAACTCCATTTTCAAACTAACAACTCCTTTTCCTTTAACCCCACCTAGATTAAGAGTTGAAGTTAAAGGTTTGAAGTTAATAACAATTGGTTATGGAGTTTAGGAAAATTAGGATTTAGGACTTAGAAAATTAGGATTAAAACTTCTTCGACCTTAGCCTTACCATATTATCATCCAACGTGACATTATAGGCCAGTATGATGTGCAGCTTAACGATCTCATGGAACTCCTCGATCTTGGGATAGATGGACTCCCCCTTGCTGTTCGTCCAGCTCAGTTCATCATCGTTGTGCCGGGCCAGCTAATGAAAATGAATAGTGGAATCGTAGTCATGACAACCAAAGCCGGAAAAGCCGGAAAACCCGACCTACCTTCACTGCATACATATCACCGTTCTTCTCGGCCGTAAAGAGTATAGTTTTCATATCGTTTAGGGGACACTGGAAGTTGTCGAAGGAAGATTGGGAACCACAAAGTTCTTCGCACAGAGAGCCGCTGTACTCATGCTTTTCGAATTTCTGGCACTATGCGAGTTGTAATTAAAAATTAGTTTTGCAGCTGAGAAAATCGTTGCAATCTGTTTACCATTAAGTTGAGACTCCGATGGGACATCAACTTGAAGCAGAACTTGAGATTGAGGAAGGCGTAGCTGAAAATGCCCACCGCCAGCAGGACCGCAATTAAAACCGTGCGCTGCATTCCAAACCGAATTTTCCGTCGCAGGGCGGTCAACATTTTAAACGCCTAAGAATTCCATTTTTAAGCCAATTCGTTTACACACCTCATTGAAGGTACGGGTATATACACTTGAAGCTCAGGACTGTCAGCTTAATTTGACACATCCTTGACATGCGCACAGCAAGCCTGTCTATCGATGAGTATCGCAAGCAGTGCTATCGTTTTATCCTTTTTCTGTGATTTTAAAAATATTTTAAAGCTTTGGAAAAATCACCTTTTAGATTTTTCAAATAAACGGTTTCTTTTTCCTTTAATAATAATAGGATGAAATTTCTTTAGAAAGAAGAAAGAACGAAGGAATGTCTGCAACAGAAAGCAAGACTTAAAAAATATTGTTGCATACTTTTAAACACCCTCCTTTCCCATTTCCCTCCCTCGCCCAAAAAATAAGACTTGCTTGTATTTTGAAATTATTACTTAACGTATAATTCTTTATTTATACTCTCTGCTAAATTGAGCAATTTACTTTACTTAATTCATCAATTTTTATTTGTATTTTTAATAAGTTGTCTTTTAATTTCATTCAAGTGTTTAGAGTTTCCTTTTTTTCTTTTGCTTTTGGTTTCTGTTTCTTTGTTCTGCCTTACTAAAAATTGTTTAAATTCAGAATCATATACCTAGGTTCAAGTTTTTATTGTTGTATATTAATAATATAATTATTACTCCTCATTATGCCCACCTCCGGTTATTCTCAGTGTGTCGGAATATGCGCTTGTCTGGTCTGTCAAGTCTGTTTCGGTTTGTCTGAGTGTTTTTGGGGTTCTCTTTATTCGGGGGTCTGTCTAATATTCACCTTTGCGTGTATTTATATACTTAAGATAACCGTTCTGTATGCACAATTTTAACTAGTTATGTACACAACTATATGTGGCTATGACAAATGCTAGAACATATCCGAACCACCAACTAAAGTACAAACAGGTAAAAAAAAGTCGCTAGGGTATAATGCCATTGTTAATTGTGTTAATTCAGCTATATATTTCAAACGGCATCTCACTAATTCTTGCAGCTGGCTTTGGTTTTTGTTTGTGGCTTGTGATTATCGTGGCCCGAAGGATCTCATCGATCTAGGGGTCTTTGGTTTTAACTGGTAAGTTTGTGTCTTTGCTACGTGAACTTTAAAAGGATTTGCCTCGGTTTTAGTTATTTCTCATAGTCGTTTTCCTATTACTGGATAATGGGGGTGCCAGTAAAATCACAGATGTTTTTAGATCTCTTATAAATGTGCCTAAAAGTATGCAATGAAAACTACGATTTTTTTGTTGCACACTTTTAGGCACCTGAAGAAGTGATTTGAAAACTCCAAAGATTTCTGTAGCTTCTTTTTTGGGTTGTTTTTTACGGCTAATTGTTACGGCTTCTGATCTGTTATTTACAGTTCGAATACACAACTTAAGACCAGTTCGTGTGGTGCCCGTGTTTATGTTTATACTTGATTTAACTTTACGCAATGTTAACATTCTGTCTTTTGATTTTGTTACAAAATCGCACGGCCGCGTGGCATTTTTAAATTGTTTTCTTTTATTCTCGTTTCGTAATTCTGTTTAACTCATTATTGTTTTGCTTAGTTCATTAAAATAATGTAAAAAATCTGCAAATTGCATGCTCCTCGTTAATTAATGTGCCTTTAAAAAATGTCTATGATTTCTCTATATGTATTCATTCTTATATTTACAGCAGTTTTCATTTTCGATTTGGTTTTGCGAACTTGATTACGTTTTTCATTTTTGAATCTCCAATTGGATCTTGTTCTTGTTGTTCATTTATTTAAAACCTTTGTTTTTGGCAGTGCATTTATATTTATTATTTTCGGTTCACTAGTTCATAATGATTCGCCTCGGCTAATGACTACAAATGAAGTTCGTTCAGTTAGTTACTCGTCGTAAATTAGGTTATTAATTAATCAACAGCAGTTATTTACAATTTTCTCAAGGTACGTCTGATTCAACGGCCATTAAATTAGGTTGTGGAGTGCTTAGTTTACATTTAGTTTTGAGTTATTTGAGTATTTTTTCGAAAGCAACTGAGGCTACAGAGAGATACGACTAGAAAGTATAATTGGAAGACAGTTGTTGGGGGATAATACACTCGAAACGAATCTTTGGGGGGGAAATCAAGTGATTGAAGGGTTTTTGGTTTTTTTGGATTGGATTGAATAAAAACGGAAACGTATTTAATCCTTGAGCAAAACGGCTTATTGCTTCAGTACAAAAATCGCAAGCAGTCCCTGAAAAAATGCGCATATCAAATAAATGCTAACAAAACTCTCACTTTTCTGTGTAATCTTAATTTTCTGTTTTTCTTTTTTAACTTTAAACATTAAACTTGTTGCCCTTAGTGTGCCAAACTACAGTTGCTGTTGTTGTCGTCTTGCTGTCTTTTTCGTTTGTTAATTAATGGTTAATATTATTATTTAGTTGCAGTTGCGTTTTGCAGTTGCGGTTGCTGAAACTCTAAATCTTGTGGCGCTGCTCCCGATCTGAACCTCGATCCTCGTAGCATCCTTATAGCTAGCTTTAACTGGTATGTTAGATTGGTTGTCTATCGTCTAGGCTTTCGAGTAGGTGTGTGCATTATTATTTCCATTTGCCTTGGCTCTTAACTATGTATATGGGTTTTAGTGTTTAGTCCATTTAAATATGCAAATTCAAAACCTTCGCTTAATGTTTAAGTTGAATATACAAATGCTCTCTCTCTCTCTTTCGTCTCTTGTGTCCCACCTATCGCTTGTATTTATTATGTATACGCACTGTTAGCTTAAGTAATTTTTTTATTTAAAATAGTCGTTGTTTCGTCTTCCTCTTCTGTTTGCAGCTGATGTGATTCGTGTGTGTGATTTGTGCCTTAGGGAGGGTGGCTTAACTAGGGGTTAAAATAAGTGCGGGTTAAAAAAAGAGGCTTGAAAAAATCCTAGAAAATATTATTTTTCAAAATAAGTTTATTTTGGATTCTTTTCAGTACTCATTTGAGGACCTGCATTTTTCCAACCCTTCCAAAACCACCCTTCCTTCAGTGCAAGTGTGTTATTTTTCTGATCCTCGCTTTAAACAGAGTTTTGGCTTAGCACAAAATTAACTTTAATTCTCTTAATTTTTTTGGCAGTGTAAAAATTGTAATTAAATGTAAATATGCTTTTCGATCTGCGGCTTTCCTCGGTAATTGCTCCTCCAGTCATCGTCGTCGCTTAGTCTTCGTCCAGGCTCTGCGATCGTCGCTTCGAGACCACCAGATACTTGCGCCCGAAGTAGGGTGAATCTAAGGGAGGTACAGTGAGTCCCAGCTCACTTCTTGCGCAGGAAGTCGGTGTATTTGCGTGCTCGCTTGCGCACCCTTTTCAAGGCCGAGCCCAGCCGGAACTGCTCGTCGGCCAGGTCGTAAGCTTGGGGGTGGTGGTGCTGGTGGTGGTGGTGCTGGTGGTGCGCATGGGTGTGGCTATAGGCGTGGCTGTGGTGCTGTGATTGCGAGTGCGATTGCAATTGCGATTGCGTTGAGTAGTGATGCATCTGCACAAAGTCATCCCCGGCGGGATTTATAGAGCCACCCGGCGAGCTGGGCGAAAGCAGATTGTGCTCGGACTCAAAGTGGTGCAGCTGCTGGTGGTGCGTCAGTGGCTGCGGCGAGGGCAGCGAGGAGGAGTGCTCACTGGTAGTAGAGGGAGCTGCCTCCAGGCCGCCAAACTCCTTGGGCAGCTCATCTATGCCCAGGGGCTTCTCAAAGTGCGAGTTACCCGACATGTTCGTATAATCATAGCTGGGATAGGTGTAGGGCAAGTAGCCCGCATGGTGACCCACCTCCGAACCACCTGCATCGCCACTTCTATTGTTTATAAACTTCACCTCATTGGCATTCCGCTCCAAACTGCTGCTAAATACGATGTTTATATTGTTCGAACTCGTCGACAAGTTGATGTTCGTGGGCGAGAGTTGTTCGCTGGAACTCTGATTGAGGTTAGTTTCCTTCGAACTGGCTCTATAACTCTGGAAACACTCGGCCGCATCGCTGGAGGCTGTATTTGTGGTATTCGTGTTATTGTTATTGGGATTCCCATTCTGACCCTGCTGGAAATTGTTCTTGTACTGAAACTCCAGGGCATTCGAGGGCTGAAAGGGATAGTTCTTCGAGTTGTTCAGTATGTCACACGCATCGGTGGCCTCGCCCTTCGAGAGATACTGATGGATGTCCTCGCTGGTGATCTGCAGGTCCTGATCCAAGTAGCTGTTGCACTGTATGTAGTTGTAGTTGTTGCTGCAGCAATTGTTGTACGCCTCGCCGGCATCCTGATGGAACATCACCGTGGTGGTGGTAACCTCATCCTCGAACTCGCAGTGATAGCTGCCGGTGCTGCCCTTACTGCCCCGACTTCCCTTGCTTCCTCGACGCCTTCGGGCTGCCGCCGCCGAGGTGCTGGGACCCTCATCATAAACGGAGCTGCTGCTGGTGATCTTCCGGCAGGGCTTCTTTTCCGGTTCCGGTTCGGGCACTTGCCAGGCATCCAGCTTATCCTCCTCCTCTCTCTCAGGACCTCCTCCCACAGCTCCTTCCATTTCCGAGGGTGATCTTCCATCTGCCAGGAAGCTCCAGCGGATGGGTGATGGCGAGCAGGCGTATTCCGGCAGCTCTGTGCTGCCCAAGGCGCCCTTTGAACTCTGTCGCTCCAGTGTGGATCCCTGTTCGGGCGCCATGTTCTTGGCCCGATCGAAAATTGAGGTTAGGGAGCCCAGCTGGCTATTTGGGCGACTGGCATTCAGACCTCTCAGCGAAATAGAAGTGTAACTGGGATGGCGATGTTCGGGCAGCAAGCTCCGCTGACTCCTATGATGTTTGCGCACTAAAACGGAGGCTGATTTTATAGAGTTATTCCTACTCAACGAAGACCTAGAGCCATAGAGACTGGTGGAATCCGTTTGGTAGCAGTAATCCGAGCTGGTGCAACAACTACTGGGTCTTCGCGAAGAACCATACAGATCTTCGGCGAAACACTGGGCCAGTTCGGTGCGCGAGGAGCTGTTCGTATTGGTGGTATTGCAGCAGGTACGAGGTCTCACGAGGATCTCCTGAACCTCCCGATCGGTGCAAGAGGGATCGTGGCACACATTCTGCGATGTGGGTATATCGGTTACCGAACGATGACGACGACTATTGCAGGGACGCACCACCGAGCCAGAGTGGTTACCTGTAGATCCACCCTGATGGGCTCCTGGCAGACTGCCACTTCCCTGGCGACGACTCCTGCGACTGTGGCGACTCGAGTGGTGCGAGTGATGATGCGAGTGGGAGTGCGGCGACGTGTGGCGACTGTGGTGCGGACTATGGCTGTGCTTGCGTTGCTGTTGTTGCTGCTGGCAGTGGTGCAATGGCGGTGGCTGTACTGGTGGTGCTGCTACCGATGTCTGTTGTATTAGCGAGGGATTGGCCTGATCACATACGACTTCCTTCTCATAGCTACAGTGTACGTATTCGTGTGTGGCATAGCGGTTCTGTTGTTGTTGTTGCTGCTGGTGGTGCAACTGCTGACCTGCTGATGCAACTGATGCGACTGAACCTCCTCAGCGCGACTCGTGGAACGAACACTGGCAGAGTCAGGAGGCGAGGCGCTCCTCAGTCAAGGCCCGCTGCTCGGGCAGACAGGTGGAGGCTGACGAGGGTGATGGGGCGCAGAGGCAGCGCTCCGGCCCTGGTGTGTACTTCGGCCGCCTTCTAAAAATCGCTCGGATGCAGCTGCCCAATGCGTAAAGCGTAAACCGTAAATAAAACCAAAAAGTTGAGAATACGAAAAAAGCAATTAATATGGCGTGCCAAATTGTTGGTTTCTCTCCTCTGCTTCATCGTTCATCATTCATCGTTAGTATTTAATTTATTGTCGATTTCTTTCGGGGCGTTTTTAGCTGCTAATTAAAAACAGTGCATGCAAAAAGTCCATGCCAATAATACGCATGCAATTGGAGAAACAGAACAGGCAATAAAAACGCTTGCAATCGCTTGCAAACACATCATGCACACACAGTACACAGTCTATAAAACCGAAACAAAAAACATTAGTTGATGGAGTCGAAAGGGCTGCTTGATTGATGGTCTGATTGATTGATTAATTAATTTACTCAAATGATTTTCATTTAACCCTTTTTTCTGGGCCCAACAGTTGCGGTAGTAATAATAATAGCTTTAAACTCCTTTGAGTCCCTGTTCGGGCGCCATCTGTAATTTTTACCACAGCTGTCTGTTTATTAAATTAAAAGCAATTAGTTAGTTTTTTAATCTAATTTAGATTTAGAAAAGCATAATTGAGGTTAAATAGGCTGGCATCTATAAATGAAAAATGATTTTTTATGGAAAAGTCACAAGGTTTGAATGATTTGAGTTTAATTTGTGGTTTATATCCTATGTTTTTGGTTTTCACTCGCATTATTGGCACTTTTCTTTCTGATCTTTGAGCGAGTGGGTGATTTGGGTGTAACTGAGTGTTTTCTTTGGGTGTATTTTGTATTCAGAGAGTGGTGCGAGTTTTCTTTACTTAGCCAATCGGTTCGCTTCTTTTAGATTGTTTTTCAAAGTTGGTCCCAAGCTCAGTAGTTGCCCCTTCACTTGCGTACTATAAAGGAACGAAAGGAAAACAATATAAGCTACGGTTCATCAGATCCGAACAGTCGATGGTTCGTTTTAGCGCCAGCTTGAGCCTTAGCCTAGTTTTATATGGTAGATAGGTTATACTGAGGTGCATTTTGGGCATTTTCATGTAAATGCCTTATGTGATTGGCTGAGTGGAGGCTGCGTGGGTGGCTCAGTGGCTGACTAGCTGACTAGCTTTATAGTTTGTGGTGGCTTAAATGATCTATCAGTGCTGCTGGGTCAACCTACATGACATCCTTCCGTGCGCCGAGTGCCGGCGGAAGCTGTAGTCGTCGACCTCGTCGTAGTGGCACTTTCTCGCCGCCTGCGGCGTTTGCAGATTGGTGCCATAGTTCGTGTAGCACTGGCCACCCGTTCCGGTGGCGGAACCCGCGGAACCCAGGACTCCTCCACCCGGACCGTAGTTACTGGAACCGGGACCCAGGAGATTGGTGCTATCGCTCAGCGGATAGGGACCCATGCCTTCAACCGTCAGGGAAAACGACGTAGTACCAAACACTTGATTATTACAAAGTACGATTGTGCGTTTTTGTTTTTCAGTTTTTGATTTTTCATTCATGCAAGTTCAGATAGTTGTTGTCCATATTTGGTTACATACAATAGTTGAGTGTCGGTTGTGTTTTAGAGGTCCAGTTGATGGTTGATTTGGTTTGTTTTGTTTTTTTTTGATCGATTGATTGATTGGTTTCCAATGTTTAAAATTGTTTGATCCGAAAAAAACACAATTCATAAATCCGAATGGAAATAAACAATGCAAGATAGTTAATTTATTCAGACAGATGCGAGCATCGCATCGGTTTTTTAGTATTTTAGTTTTTAATTACAGATTAGAAGAGAACAGAGTACAGAGTACAGATCGAATTTCTACAATAACAAGCAGCTAGATAATTAGGACAAGAGTCATTCCAAATGATACTTCAGAAATACTAGGCAAACGATAACAATTGGAAATTTATAGATACACACATATTTATATTAATGAGTGGAGATGATGGAGGTTAGTAAGGGATTTTGAAGGGATCGGGGTAATGCGTTAATTATTTTTTAATAAAATAATAAAAAAAAGTTAGGGTAATTGCTCATTGAGGTGTTTTGTGGAAAAAAATTATAAAAAAAATAAAATCCTCTAATAAAGGTGTCTAAAAGTAGGCAACAATATTTTACAGGTCTTAAAAATTTGTAAAGATTTATGTTGGTTTGTTTAAGTTTATTTTTGTTTCCATCTTAAACCCAAAAATGTGGTTTTAAATGCCTAAAAAATTAATTATGCAACACGTTTGTTTAGAAGGCAATTTGCATAGATACATTTTGTTTGATTATGTGGCTTTGGTTTAAACAGTTAACAAGTTTACTCAAAATTAGGGTTCTTTTATGTTTACCTAAAGGACATTTGTGTGTTTGTCTCACAACCTGTGTGTATATGGATATGCAAATATTGGATGTGTGTGGTTCGAGCAATTTGCACAACAAATAACGAGGAAATTAAAAACTCAAACGGAAACTGAAACGCAATCAAGTTGTTGTGGTTTTTAACGAGGATATTTGACAGGATGAGGATTAGTGGAGGATTAGAATTCGGAGTCGGATTCGGAGAAGGAGGTTCTAAGTGGAACTTTGGCGTGTTTTGGATTCTTACGTGAGTCATGTTGGGTCTTCTCCTCAGATACCATCAAGGCGGCATGCTCGATGCCAGAATTCATACTTTGTGGCTCCAAGCTATTTGTGCAGTTTAGCATACTCCTGAAATTCGCACACTCTACGATTATGTTTTAAGTGTAAACGTATTTGGTAAATTTAATTTCTTTGCAACTAATGAGAGCAATTTCGAGAGTTTTTTGTATTTTGGTTTTTTAGGAGTTAAGAGATTCCCGCTGAAGGTTTCTGTAGTTTCTGTGTATTGAAAGAGGCTGCTTGGAAGTTATTAGGCGCGGCTTAAAACTAAATAAAAATGTAAAAGAAAACCAAATAAAATAAAAATGGTAATAAAATAACATTTATTTGTAAACAAACATGTAACGTGAAATTAAATTGATTTAAACTAGCACTAGTTCTAAATTGGAATATGGCGCCCAACGTTGGATCTTCCGGGAAATTGCTATGAGTGGAGGGTGGTATTTGATATTTAATTATAAATTAATCAGATTTGGTCACACTGGTTCTGGGATGCTGTCTTAGTGGAGCTGGCCTCACTGTGCCTTGGGATGCGCGGATGCGGAGCCTTTGCCTTCCACCTCGCCCTGCGACAATTCAAAGTCCGCGGTGATGGCACTATTATCATTCGCATTATCCTCGCTATATGGTTGAAATCGAAAATCGGGCAACAAAATCAGTGTGTGCGTGTTCGTGTGTGGCTGTGTGAGTGGGGGACTTATTGATGGGTTTTCATGATGGGTGGACACCACTTTAAACTAACCAATTTATTTATTCGTTAATGATCGATGAGGGGAGGTAGCGATAGCGATTCTGATATCTCAGATATGAAGTGATATAGGGGTCAGAAGGTTGATGAGATGCGACTCTTAATCATAGTAGTAAGTATAGGTTTAACGGTATAGCTATGCATAGAGAGAGTTGGAGAGTAGAGTATTAAAATTGATATTAAATATTGGGTATTTATATAGTTTTGACTAGAATATGAGTCTTATTTAGTTCGCTTTTACGGCAGCCAGTTTTTTGTTTATAGATTGTAGGTAGTTTGTAGTAGTAACAAAGTAACGAGTTGTAACAAAGTACAGGCAAAGTTAAGCAAACATGCCGAAAAATTCATAGAAACTTTTTAGCGCACAATTTCAATTTCAATATCGGTTCGATTAACTTTCGGTTTTTTAATTGTACATAAAGTGGCTAAATAAAGTACAGCAAATACGAGCTACGTTTTTAAAAAAAGGTGAAAGTTTTGAAGCGCGAAACGCATCGGATCGGATATTCGATTGTGGGGCATTTTTAGTTAACGGAGTTTAAGATCTCAAGAGCTTAGGAGTCGATAGAACGATCGTCTTCGGTGGCTTCATGCAACTTACCCGTACAGTCTACTATCTCGAAAGGTCCTTTTCGGGCATACATGGAACGTAGTTTCAAGTCAGAGGGTTATTTTCGAACTTATGGTGCATTTACAGAATACAGAACGGAAAATAAAACCAAATTTCAAAACGAAGGGAAATTAAAAGTCTGAACCCTGAACTGAATCCCTGGGGAGTTCGGTTCACTGGCTCAGTTTGGCTATGCAAACCGCATAATAAACTTCCAAGTAATTGGTAATCGAGGGTAGAGTTTTATAGTTTTCATAGTTTGTGTTGGTTGAGAATACTCTCGGTTCAAGTTAAATGAGCTGAAGAACTATTCGACATATTGCCATGATTTGTGTGCAGAATTTGGGCTGGGGAATGGGCGAATGCAAGGACACATACCTGCCGTTGTTGTGCCGGAAGAGGGCCAGGATCTCCTCGAAGGTCTTGTTCTTCGTCTCGGGCACCTTCTTGTAGGTGAATATCCAGAAGATGGCCAGGAACACGCTGAACGGCAAGAACGTGTAGTTCTCGAGGGCAGTCTATAAAAGAAAGAACAAAGGTAAAATGTTACTTAAAAAATTAAAAACAAGTATTTTTTAGAAAAGTTTGTTAAACCATTTTTAAAGAAATATTTGTAGGATTATGAATATTTTTTATACGTGTCAAAAAGTATGCAAAAGAGATTTAATATATCCTTATTAAAAATATTTCATTGCATACTTTTAGACACTTAAATAAGCGATTTGAAAATGTTTTAGTGTTTTATATTTATTTTTATTAATTATTTTTTCTGTTTTTAAATGTATTATTATAATTATTTTCTATTTCCACTTACCTTCATGCTGGGGAAACCGATGCCGACCACAAAGTTGGCCATCCAGTTGACCAGCACCGCGATGGCCATGGCACTGGGCCGAGGTCCCTGGGAGAAGAGCTCGGCGGTGATCATCCAGGGAATCGAGCCGGGTCCCACCGCAAAGAAGACGACGAAGCCAAGGGTGGCCACCACCGAGAGGTAGGACATCCAGTCGATCATTTCCTGCACATAACCAAAGAACTCCTATACAAAATGCATAGTACTCGCATTCTCGAAGTAGGCTTTTATTTTCATCTCCTCTACTCGCGTTTAACGAACTGCGTTCGAAATAATATAGGATATAAACCCCCCACCGGATAAACCTAATCTCTTTTATGCATGAGTTGGTAAGTTGGAGTATGGAAAGTAGTAAATTGGAAGGAGATATCTGGTCTCTCGTTCTCTTGGTTCTCAAAGAGTTGACCTCTGAACTGCCGCTCGAGTCTTTGTGGGTCTGAGAATGCTTAGGAATGCTTAGTTGTACGTAAAGTAGCTATATCTTACACAAATACCAAATAAAAAAAAATGTAAATTAAGGCTTAGAGGCAGAGATTGAAAAATATGGATATCTTCTATATTTTCACAATATCGTATCGATAATATCGATGAAAAAAGTAAAATCAAAAAAAGGTATCATAATTATGTTTGTAATAAATTATAAATTATGTGTGAAATTATGTGAAAATATCGATATTTTTTCAAGCTCTACTTTGAGGTCACATTAAGTGTTTGGTTTCTGTGTGGAGAGCTTCGTGTGTGTTGGAGGTGGCGACACCTCTAAAAAAGCGAGTTCAGCGCGGTGCTCTGCTCTATTTTTTCTCCATTTTTGTTTTTTGGGGAGCTTGTGGAACTGGTGCCCGAAAAACTTTTGCAGAGTTTTGCAGAATGTGTTAGTGGTTTTTGGTTTTTTCGAAAACTTTTGCTTGCCTTTGAAACTGTGTGGATTGCTTCTAGCGAAAAACAAAGCGTAAAAATCATAAACAGAACGAATTCGTCAACCGATTTCGAGTGAGTGTTTTATTTTGTGGGGCGAAAGCCTGCCAAGTCGAGAATAGCTCTAAATTAAGGGGCGGGACAGTTGCAACTTGTGAGCTTTCTAGGAGATTTTAAATCAGGAAATTGTCCTTTAGTCTTGGACATTTTTAAAAACAAGTTCCTGATTGTATTCATATTTTTTAGACCAGCTCACAGGTGCAACAACTTAGCCTAGGCAAATGAAAATCAAATATATCTAAAGGCAAGCCACGTGCAAAAAGTGTATAAAAAATATAAAATGTATTATTACTATATAGTTAAAAAAACACAACTAATACTGAAGCATTCCAAAGCTAATCATGCATATGCCGCACAATCTGCGTAAACATATTTCCAAATCGCACAGAGAGGACATAATTAATAACTAAAGCGACCAAGTGTTGGCCTATAAATTAAACACACATACGTCTATGACTTAAATGCAATACATCAACGCAAACAGAGAAAAAACTGAAAAAAAGCTACGTTTAATGGCTGAGGGAGAGTCATAAATCCAACTTGTTATAAATTCAAATATATCTCACATCAATAATTTATAAAAAATACGCGCGGGACAACTGTCATGCTCTGTATCTGTGTGAGTGTGTTTGTGTCTGTGTTTTGGTGAGTGTTTTTGTGTTTTTTATGTTTTTGTTTTGAGGGCTCGACGGGGTTAAACACAACTTCATGCATAAAATATTTATATCAATATTCAAATATTTATAAACACACGCACTCGTGTTTTGGGAGCAAATGGGGTATTTATATGGGATAAGTTCTAGCGTCTCTAGAAGTTCAGAGTCATATGCAAATCACTAAATGGACGGGGGATTAACAAATGCAAACCCAAACTGGCAGGCACTTTAGCATTCACATTCGCATACGCAGGCATTTGTACTTTACAGGCGCTAAAACAGGACTCGAGCATCCTGGAAACCCCTATACTTGCCTTGATCAGGAACGAAATGGTGATGAAGATGGAGAAGATGAACATTCCACCCAGGCCGTAAAGGTGCAGGGTCCGACGACCCGTGCGATCCATCAGCGGAATGGAGACGAGGGTCATAACAACCTGTGGGAAAATAAAGTATTAATATTTTGATTTAGTAATGAAATTGTAGGCAACTATTTTTGTTAACTGCTAAAACATTTAAAAGAAAATCTAGAGAACTTGTTGAAAAGTAGAACAATTTTTGGGTTTCACAGAAATCTTAGGCAGGAAATTTTTTTTGGTGAGTTGAATCTACAGGTAAAACGGTATAACATAAAAATCCAAAAACAAAAACCGAAATTTGGAAAAATTTCGCATACATTTTTAAGACTGTAAAAGTTTTTTAAATTATAATTTCTTTACATTTTCTTGCAATGTTCGATGCAAGTTTTCTAGTGAGTTTCTTTTCTGAAAGTCGAATGAGACTATAAAAGCCTACCATTATGGCGCCGATGCCTATCGTGGCGAACTTGGCGCTCTCCTCAGTCAATCCCGAGCTCATGAAGAGCGACGTGGAGTAGTAGAAGACGGCGTTGATGCCGCTGAACTGCTGGCTCAGCTGCATCACGATGCCGATGATGAGGGGAGGGCGCAGGGTGGGCGAGCATATCAGCTCCATGGTCGATATGTGGCTCTCGGACTGCTGGGCCCGCTCCTCGGCCCGCATCTCCTCGATGTCCTCCTCCACGGAACCGGAGGCTCGCAGTCGTCGCAGGGCTAGAAAATATATTTTTTTATGAGTAACTCTTACTAAAAATAGGTTAAAGAAAATTTTAAAAAATTTTAAGACTAATGTAGCATTTATTTAATTATAAAATAAACAATTTAGATTTTGTAACCTATTTTCGTAGTATTAAAAAATGTATAAAAATAATGCCACTATGTTTAGGCATATATTCTTTCTAAATAAATCCGTAAACCATTACAATTAGTCTATCTCACCTTTTCGCGCCTCCTCCTCCCACTGCTTGGTGATTAGCAGATATCTGGGCGATTCCGGGCAGACGGGTAGCAGGATGAGTTGCAGGATCGCCGGGCAGATGGCCAGGCCCAGGAGGATGGGCCAGCCCTCGTTGGTGCCCAGGATCTGCTCGATGCCCAGCACTTGGGATAATAGTAAACCTACAGTCACAGCCAATTGATTAACAGTACCTAAGCCACCGCGCAGATTCAGTGGCGCTATTTCCGAGATGTACATGGGCACCAGCGACGTGTTGAGGCCTTTCAAATATGAAGAGATAATTATAGCCATTACTCCAGTATATAATTAACCGAATTACTCACCGCAATTAACACCAATTATAAATCGGCCAAGGAATAACATTTCATAGGAATGACTAACTTTGGTAAATCCCATCAAACAGGCGCCGGCAATTCCGAGCACATTGTTTAACAGTAGGCCGCCTTTTCTATAAGTTTAAAATATTTATGATATTGCCCTTTAATTACAGATATTTAATAATTTTTTATAGCCGCTAAAACATATACATATTTTTTAAAATATGACGGGCAATGGTTATCCATTATTTCTTGATCAAGGTATTTTAAGAATTTAATTATTTGCTATATTTTTTCACCAACCTGCCAAAGCGGTTGGCCATCCAGCCGCCGCTGAAACCGCCGAGCATGCCGCCGATGGCGAAAATGGAGACGGCCACCGAGTAGAGCTGCTGGATGAACTCCTCGCTGATGTCCTCGCCGTAGCGGTCCTTGTAGACGTCCTTCATGAAGTTCTCGATGTTCTTCTCGGGCGCATTGATGACGCCGGTGTTGTAGCCGAACTGCAGCATGCCCAGCACCGCCGAGAAGATCGAGTAGGTGAGGAAGAAGGTGAGACCCTGGAAATTTCGATGTTTAATGCCATTAGTGGTGAACAAACTTAGAGGGGGATTTAGGGGGTTTCGGGGGCGGGACGGTGGGGATTTCGGTGGGGGCTGTGCGGGCGGGTCCATCAAACGCTTTGCAAACGAGTGTGCAGCAAGGATAAGCCCAATTTTCTAATCGAAACTGAAGGGATAAAGAACGCATAAGATAAAGTCAGATGGATGAGAGTGTTTGGATGTTGAAAACAATACTTAAAATCAAGGAAATCAAACAAAATAATATCGTTTTTTTTCATATTTATTTAATTAATTTTTGCTAGAAAACTTAAAAAATAAAACAATCGCAAAATTCTTTAAAATACGTTGATGAAGAAGCCGTCTGTACGTGTGCAGTACACTCAATTAAATCTGTGTTATATATTTTCATAAAAACTTGCATATTAAATATTTTTAATAATATTTCCAATTGATAAAAATATTTTTTATCGAATATATTTAAATTTCCCATCTTTAGATATAAAATTTATTTGAGTGTCGACAAAAACTGAACCAATTCGACGAGCATTTGCATCTGTCCATCATGGTGGCAGTTTTTGCTGTCAGTGGTTGAGTGTTGCTGGGTGGATGGATGTTCGGGTGGTTTTGGGTGGTTTTTGGTCGTGTGGTTGGCTGTCTGGCTCTGGGTTGTTGGTAGTTGGTTCTTGGTGTTTCGGTTTCGGTATCGGTTTGTACATGAATAGAGAAATGAAATTCAAGTATTTAATTACACAACATGGCAAATAATTTAAGCTACAAACTTGTTCTAAAAGTCTTAGCTTCCGTCTGTGCGTGTGCTCCTCCAGTCGATCCACATATTCGCGCAGCTCCTCGATCTCCTCCTTCACCTGCTGCACGGTGTCCAGTTCGTGCTTGATCGCCACCATGTCGCGCTTCACCTGAATATGATGGTATTTTATAAATTTTTGCTCAGTTTCCCTTTATGGGCTCAAGAGAAAACGTCACAGGAGCGTCGAAAGCTATGGACAATTCTTAGCAATATTTTAAATAAAATTGAATTTAACCATTCTTTAATAAATTGATTAAAATTAGATTTATTTTATTTTATTATTTTGTTCTTTTATTTATAATATTTACTCCATTTTGAAATAAATTATTTGCTTTATTAGAAACAGCTTAAGTTTAGCATTATTCATAAGATAAGTTAACAAAAACTTTTCTTTGAATATTTTTGTGCCCAAAAACTTTCTTGAGGTTTAAAATCCTTTAATAAGTTGTCTAAAAGTATGCTATGAAATTCAAAACCTCGTATATTGGCATTAATGGTTATGACATTCGGGCTCACAATAAATAAATAGCAAACTTTTAGTACTTTAGTACTAAATAGCATACTTCAAAGATGTTTTAATCCATTTTAGTCACAAACTTCGCATGTCCAAGCATTAGCATTAGTTTATGGACATATATTGCTTAGAATTGCCATACCCAATCTTATATTCCTTCCTGATCCCCAACTCACCTCGGACACTTCGCTCTGGCAGCTCTCCACGGATTTGGTCAGCTCCTGGAGCTGCGTGCGGATCTCGCACAGGGCGACCGTCGTCTCCAGGTGTCGATCTCCCCGCTGCAGCTCATCGAGTTTCGCTGACAGATTCATGCTCATCACGCTAACTTGCTTTTGCAAACTGTCGATGGATTCGCAGTCAAGGGTCAAAGAGAATTTATCAAGCAGAAAATGCATTTTAGTCGAACGGAAAGTGGAGAAATGCCTTCGAGTTCATTCCTTAAAGTACTTATTCCACTACAAGACCGAGACAGAGTTATTTAGCGTATACGTAATTTATTTCGCTCTGGCCCAAAAGTAAACGCAAAACGTAAACGAAATACACACACAGAAACAGAAACAAAACGAAATTATTTATGACCGCTTGCATTAAAATTTACTGAGCTATGCAATTATTGAGGAATGAAGCAACATAAATTTTATGGGCCACAGCTCGAAACTGAAAAGCTGAGAAACTGAGAAACAGAAACAAAAACTGAAACAGAAACGCACGCCAGTTGGAAAAGGAGTGACTTCTCCTTACTCCTTGGCTCCTCCTTGGGCAGAAGTCCAAGAAAGAAAGGATTTCTGTGTTGGGCGGACCGAGAACAACAATAATAACCGAGCCAGGCCACTAAGTACATAAAAAGTAACTTAAAGTAAATTGTTGGCATATTTTGTTAAGGTTAAGGCAAGAGTAATGTACAATGCACGAGAATGAAAAGTTGACGGCATTATATATATACACCAGAATTTATATATATATTTAAGATAGCTGAACTCTGGCCCCATTTATTTTACTCTTGCCCAGAGATAGTCGGCTGGATGGTTAGATAGACCCTGCCAAAGTTGTAGTAATAATCCTGTTTATATCTAGTTCGCATCAAATTTACATTTTCGTCAGCCGCAAAAGCAAAACTAAAAGCCTGTGAAAACAAATCGGCTTCGCTTTTTGCACTACAGTCAAAGTTCTATAGGTGAAAAAACAAGGCTTATAAATTTGTTATCTTATCATAAATCTGTTATCTTAGACGAAACTCTTTTAAGGGATTTTTAAATTGAAAACTGGAATTATAAAAATCTCTACTTTTTTAATGACTTTTAGAAATATTTGGTTTTTAATATGTAATTTAATTTCAAGCCATTCTCTAGTAATATAAAAAAATGTAATTATCGATAAAAGTAGATATTTATTAATTTTTAAAACAAATTTATGAATCATTATACCCGTTACTCGTAGAGTAAAAGGGTATATTAGATTCGTGCAAAAGTATGTAACAGGTAGAAGGAAGCGTTTCCGACCATATAAACTATATATATTCTTGATCGGGATCACTAGCCGAGTCGATCTAGCCATGTCCGTCTGTCCGTCTGTCTGTCCGTCTGTCTGTCTGTCTGTCTGTCTGTCTGTCTGTCTGTCTGTCTGTCTGTCTGTATGAACGCTGAGATCTCGGAAACTATAAAAGCTAGAAGATTGACATTTTGCATGCAGATTCTAGGAGTTCCTACGCAGCGCAAGTTTGTTTCAAAGGGTGCCACGCCCCTCTAACGCCCACAATCGCTTATATACGATTTAAAAATTTCAATATTTTGGAAAAGTAAAATGCAGTTTTATTGTGTTTATCAATACCTATCGAAATGTAAAAGAAATTTTTTAAATCGGACCATTCGTTAAAAGTTACGGCGGATCAAAGTTTTTCTCCATCTCTTTCGCCTCCCTTTGCTGGTAACGGTATCTGATAGTCGGGGCACCCGACTATAGCGTTCTCTCTTGTTTTTAATTTATTAAAATGCTTTTATCATAATTTATTTTTTTCTGCAACCCAGGATCACAAAAATATTTAGGGAAATATATATAAACCTCCTGTTAATCTAAATGTATATTTTAATCTGAAATGTCTTTACCTTTTTAGATTCCAAAAATCAAGTACAGTGCTTAGACTTATTAAAGTTCTATATAGATAAGCTCGACTGTATATCTATATATATCGAATATCTGTTCAGATCGGAAGGTGCTCTTTGTGCATTGTTTGTTTGGGGTGGCATCTAAATCAAATGGCAACAAAAGTGGTGGGCGACAGTTGCCAGCGGATGGCGGATGGCGATGTGCCGATATAGATATAGTATGGGGGGATATATATGAATGGCATTGCGCATACGACACGTGGGCCGTGCTTGAGTTGCCTGCGCATTATGTTAATGCAACGCTAGAGGGGAATGTAGAGGGGGATGGGGATTGCTATCGTTAGTACTGTTATTGTTTTGCATTTCACGGACATTGTTGTGCCGAGCATAAAAGGATTATTTTATGCATACATCAGTGGATGTGGATGTGGATGCGACTGTGGATGTGGACGTGGATGCCAGCGAAACCGAATCCGAATCCGAAACAGAATCGAGAGCAAAGCCAACCAGAATTCAGAACGAGAGATTCAGAGATTCGAGATTCGGTCGCATCCTGTGAAAGTTATTGTTCTCTGCGAAAACAATTGTTTTGTTTGTTTGTATTTGTGTGTGCGCTTGTCATATGCAGGAATTTTCGGTTTTGTGTAAGGGATTTGTATACGTGAGCATTTAATAAATTTTCTGCCAATTTCTCCCCTTGGCTCTTTTACATATTCATTAAAGGCAGCACAGTACGTGTGTGTTTTGTCGTCCTGCCAGCCAAAAAGGATTCCATTCCATTCCGGGACTGTTGTTCATTTTGTCAAAAAGCTGCGCAAAGCAAATTCTTTAGTTTATCCTTTGGCAGGATTTCAATCACATTAACCAGAGTTCCGCCATCCGTCAACTATTCAGACTCACTTACAGATAAAGTTCAGCTCAGAAGCTCAGATCTCAGTGCACACAATAAATTCAGCGAATAAATTAAAATCAAAATCGATTGTACTCATACATCTCATACATCAATCGTGGGAAAATCGAGGGGAAATCGAGGGAAAATCTGGGGAAAATCGGGAATATCTGGGTATTCAAACCAATTGGCATATAGGACATTCACCAAACGTTGCAAATTCTTGTTTTTCAGCCTCTGTTTTTCTGTTTATTTTTGTATGTTGACTCTCATAAACTTTTGCTGTAAATCAATTTAAATTTATTTGTGGTCTCTCGTTGATTTCGATTTTTTATGATTGGCATGATTAACATTTTGTTTGGATTATGGATTTGTTTGATTTCGCTTTTCGAGAATACAGAGATACAAAGCCAAAATGAACGGATGAACGGAAAACACAAATGTTTGTAAGTAGTTTCGTTTTCGGTTTTCTGCTTGTTACAGTTTTTTATTTGGTAATTTGTAATTTTGGTGAAGGGACCGTTACGCCAATTAGTCGGGGTTTTTTGTTTGTATGCTTTTTTAAAACTTTTAAACATCGAGCATTAAACCATAAAAAGTGTACAGTAATTCATTGCAGCAAAGGAAACAAATGGAACCCAAAATGGAGGCACAACAAAAACACAAATGGAAAATGGAAAATGGAGGAGGGACATTAAACGAGTTGAAAAATCCTGAAAATATTGTGTGACTGACTGACTGACTGAGTGATGCATTGGGCAGGGGATTACGCACGAAAAGGGGGTTTTTTTTGGGGTTAAGGGGTTAAGCTAATTATGAACTTGATGACATGCAGGGGGAAGTGAAAAGGGGGTGGGAAAAACAGAGAGAGCGCTGCTGCTGAAGTGGCCAACCGCAGGCTGATTGACTGCCTGGCCAAAGGATGTTTGTCAATGGCTTTACACGATGGCCTTGCACGAGTGTGGGTGGTTGAGTGGGTGGTTGAGGGGGCGGTTGGGGGGCTGGCAGTGTGTGTGTGGTGCGAACAGCGACTTAATGGCCCTCAAACACTTTTCGGCATGTCATAAAAAACACAACACCCCAACAACCGCACAGAGAAAAATAAATCACTTCGTCTGCTTGGGTTTTAATTTCTTTTTTTAAATTCAGGGAGCTCATTTAAATTATTTTTATTTTTATGTTCCGATTTTTCAGGCTGTTTATATATTGCTAGTAATACAAATTTTGTAAAGTAAAAGATGATAAAAATCTTATGGAATGATAACCAACTGTTTCTTAGAGCTTTGAGCTTCTAAACTTACTTTTAATATCCTAAAGTATATTTAGTAGTTAAATTGTTATCAAAAAGCTATATAAATATTTGTTAAAACTTTCTAAACAATATTTTTATTGTATTAAAATTGGTAGAAAAATATTTTTCCTTTAAATTATCTGTTTAATGGATTTTTGACCACTTTAAAATGATGTCAACAAATAGTTTCATTAAGTTTAAAAATTATAAATATTTTAATTTATTTTTTTAAGACAACTTCTCCTTAATTTTAAATTCTAAGCAGTAATCCAAATCCTATATTATGTTTAACCCTTATGACTTTATTTTATCTCTGTGCAGTCAAAAACGGCAGATTGTTGTGACTGCTCTCGAGGGTCTTTCGAGTAGGGCCAAAATGGGGTATTCACACCAGGCACCCAACCCGCACTACATCCAAAGCTCACTCTCTCTATTTTTCCCATCCAGATGATGAGCACGTTTTGGAAACTAAATTAATTTATTTGAACATAATTGAATTCTAATTGCGTTCCATGCACGAAAAGGGGGAAGAGCGAAGTGACTGGTTTTTGGGCAAATATTCTAATAATTAACAAATCAATTTGATGGGCTACGAGTGCCAAAAATGCAGAGAGAGTAGTGCAAAAGGCAGAGAGAGATAGAAAGAGGGGGGAAATTCATTGGATTATCATGGCATTACAATATGAATTTGATATTTGGATTTTGAATTTTAGGGGGATAGAGTAAAAATATTTAGATTTCGTAATTGAAGTTAGTTGGTTGTAATTGCATACTCATTGAGTGGCGTGAATACCAGGCCACTTTGCGTGTGGCTTTTGTTGTTTTTCGGTGGTTGAGTTGTTGTAGTTGTTGTTCATGGAGTTCATGGAGTTATTGTGGCAGTTTTAGTGGTTCAAGGGGCATATTTCGCAAACGGAATCGGAATTGGATGATAAAGAACACGTATAGACATTGTACAACATGTGAGAGGCAGAGGGGGTTTTTGGTTTGGGAGGGCAGACCAGAAATGCATTTCGTCAGTTTCTCGGACTCTCTCCTTCAATTTTGCCTCGTTGGCATTTGACGAAATGCATTTCCGGCAATTGCAGACATATACACAGATAGAGAAAATACATATGCGGTATATACTAGGGATGGTACCTTAATCAGAGTTAAGATAATATTTAAAGTGAATTATTTTTTCAAAAACACAATCAAATAAAATCAATTTTATTTAAAGATTTGTTTATTTTGAGCTTTAAGCTAGTGTATCTTTTTTTGCTGGTATGAATGTCAACTTTAAACTTACTCCTTAATTCTTTATTTACTTCCTCTTTATTAAAAAAATCGGTTGAAAATACCTAGAATTTTGAAATCATTTTGAAATGTCAAAATAGGTGTCTCAAAGTATGCAGTGAATATTGGAGAGTCGTCTTCCGACATGAATTCATACCACTTTTGGGTTAAAAATATATTGTTGCATACTTTTAGACACCTATACCAAGCAATTTCTATGGCAGCAAAAAATATTTATAATCTTTTGTGTATAATAACTTAAATGCTTTACAATGCAATCTATAATTTTATTTTATATATTTTTCTACTGCATTACCATCTTTACATTAAAATATTGAATGCAACCTTATTGTCGATTTATCTTGTGCATTTCCTCACTAGTTTTCCATCCCCAGTATATACAATCGAGTGATTGACAGGTAGTGTGGAAATGAAATTACAGACACATGTGCTCAATCACTCGGTGACATTTAAGCAAAGTAAATACGTTTCGATTGAGTTGCAATTTTGTATTTTGTACAGCGCGTGACATGGCAACAAAGGCGGTTGGTTTTCGTATTGTGAAAGCAAAAAGGCAGCAAACGGCAAACAAATGCTGCTAATTAACATATTTTTAATTAACGATGAGAAGCCATTTAAATTTACACGAAACACAATTATTAATAAGTATATGAAACACACACACACAATCATCGCAAATGGATGAGTGAGTATGAATATGAATGGTTAATGGAACGAAAGAATAAAAACGAAACGTGTGCTCTGCATACATGGCGGATGAGTGATGTTCGAATTGTTTTCAATCTGTTCGCTATTGTTACGTTTTAATGTTATTATTAATTAAATGTTAAAGTTAATTAATTTTTAGATTAACTCTATGGATTTATGTACCTGGGTGGCATTGTGCCCATCATTTTGTTGGCTTTTCTTTGGACTCCGTCGATTGAAATTGATTTAGTTATAGAGTCTCTTTTACTATAATTATATCTTTAGTATTTATAGTTGCTGCTTCTCACGCTTTTTATATATCACTCGCCTTTCTTTTCTTTCTTTTCAGTTTTTCGGTTTGGTGAATGTCGTATGTGTCCGCGGTTGAGTTATTTGGGGTCTATATGTGATATCTTTTTGTTGGAAAGGTTGTGGCGCAACAAAAACAACACAACACAGGGGCCCTCAATGAATAATTGACAGTCTAAGGACACACGCAGGACACTTAACTGAACATAACTTGCGCAAATCTGTGTGGAGGAGGAGAACATTAAACATATACATTGCATATTTGCTCGTTAATATATCACAAGCCACAGAAATAAAACCGAAAAGGGGGTAAAGGGGGTTTTGAGCCCGCAGTAAGTAATATTTAGTACCACACCGAAAAGCACACAAATTAAAATGGAAATTAAAATTTATTTACGCCCAAAACTAAAAATATCATTTGTTATTCGTTTAATAAATTAAATAAACATGGCGCGCACACAGAAATAATTGCTGTTTATTTGTCTAACTGAAAGCGGATATTTATGGCCTGCAAATGCAATCCTCCGGTCGCCGCGCCTGCAAATTAATGGCCCGTAATGAGCTCCTGGCCCCGAAAAGCCAGCCAGTCCATTACGAGGTCTCTCCTTTGCTTTTGGCAGCGGATCAGGGGGCCGTCTATATGGATATGGAGTATAGATCCCCATCTACGTACTCGAGCAGCAATTGGCGCAGTGTGGCCTCGTCCTCGCCATGACATCTCAACCTAGATTCGCGGTCTCGATCATCCCGACTCGAGTGGCGCTGCCTTTTGGGGGCGTAGCTGAAGGAGTGACGATAGAACCTTCCGTTGTTTATGTTAGCTCCGCGATAGGCGTCTGTTATCCATTCAGGTGGTGTTAAAAAAGCAGGGAGATTTGGTTATATCTATAATCTTGGGAGTGGGTCAAAAGGAGAGTCCTGCTCCTAATTTGTCTTAATAAATATTTTATTTAAAAGAAAACCCTATTAAAAAGTCAATATAAATTATTCAAATTAAAAAAAATACATTTAACACATCAATCAAAATAATAATTTGGCATTTAGAAAATAAGAGAGCCCCAGAAACTTGAAATCTTTTATATAGGTGTCTAAAAGTATGCAGTAAAAAAACTTATCTCTTTCGAAATAAATCCTTTGGACTTTTGGATTAAAAATAAATTGTAGCATACTTTTAGACACACTTATAAGGGATTTAAGACCTCTAGTAAATTCTAGTTCCTCGTCGATCATAACATTTTTTTATTTAATATTATTATAGACATCATATAATTCTCATACAGGACTCTCCTCTCAAAAAGACTACCCACCTTCGGGTCGCAAACGCACTGGCGGTGAGGTCAGCTTGAGTTGTGTTGACGTTGTTGTGGGCGGAGTCTTACGTCGACCACCAAAAACATAATCGTAGGAATCTTCGCTCAAATTGGACACTGCCATGGGTAAATTATTTGTTATGGATTACATTTCGAAATTAACGCACTCTTTAGAGAAGAGCAAACGGAAAAATCCAAAAACACAGAGAGCGGCACAAACTAAACCGAAATTAAAACCAAAAACTCAAAAATAATATCACAAGCTGTTTGTTTCTTTTCATCTCGTTATCTTGTATACTCACTCTACACATTATACATATATATATATGATACACAAATATTTGTTAAAAATAAGACAAACATTAAAATAAACATAAGAACCAAGGTAAATATTTAGTTTTGTCGAGATTTTGTCATTTTCATTTTTATATTGTTGTTGTTGTAGTTCGTAGTTGTAGTTATTGTTGTTGTTGTTGGTTGGTTGGTTTTTATGGAAGAATAAAGAGCACAAAATGTGGCAGTTTGTTAGCTTGCGATATTTCGATTTTCACTTTTTGGACAGCACACACAAAAAGGCAGCTAAAGGTGGACACACAGTAATTTTTATTTTGCGTTCAAAAAATGGTTACAAAGCGGCTGTCACAGCCTTTAGTTATTTTTGTTTTTTTGCTGGTTTGCTCTAATAAACAATTTGGTTGGGGAAAAAACAACACACACAGCAGCGTTGAAAACTACTTGAAAAATTCGAAACTTTCAAAATGATTTTGATTTTTTTTCGTGGCAACTCAAACAAAAACTGTTTTTTTTTTATATAGGTAGATAGTCAAAAAGTGGCAATACAAACGGCAAGCAAATATATAGAACTAGACAAATAGAGAGAGAAAGAATGTTTGTATGTGAAAGAGACGGAGAGATAGTCGGCTTGGATATATATTAATGGACGACTGTTTGACTGATTGGTTTTCGAGATTTGTCTGATTGATTGATTGACTGAATGCTGCTGCTGCTGAAAATGCTAAACAAAAATGTTCGTACAGGGTTACACCTGTACAGGTGGGCTATGATTTGTGTGTAAGGCAGGCTGAGTGTATGAAAAGAGTGTATTGTGGTGTATATGAAAGAAAAATAAATCAACAAACCGACCAATCAAAGAACCCAATCTACACACCAATTAAAGTTGCAATCAATTGGAAATGGCACAACACAGAAAAAATATGAGAAAAGAAAAGAAAAACCAAATAAGAATTTTTATACAAAAGGTGCAACAGTAACTTTTCATAATGGGCGGCAAAAAGCTAAAAAAAAACTCTGGCAAACTCAATGGAAAATAAAAGTCAAGGGGGAAACAAACAAATAATGCCCAAACAAAAGGCAAAAGAACTGCAGGCAAACAACGAGAAGAACAAATACAAATTGGCGCATATATGCAGGGCATACACCTACATACACAAATATATGCGGAAAGTAATTCAAAAAATTCGCCAAAATAATTCCAAAATAATTGGCGGTTAAAGGCAAAAGCTAAAAGGCAAAAAGGGATAGAAGGGCACCTGGAAACACGCTCAGCGGCTGGAGCACTTGGGTGGAACGCAGTGGCGGCGGTAGCGGGGGCAGCTGTCCAAACGGATCTTGGTCGTTCGAAATGGAAGACGTGGGCGGTGAGATCATCGATAGGTCACCAATGGTCGCCATGTCATTACTCTGGCCAGCTATAAATGATTAGGCAATTTGGAGGTAGTTAGAACAAGTAGAAGAATAGAAAGGGCAACATGTCATTAGGAAGATATTATAAAACAGGGATATAAGGGAAAAACAACAATTTTTGTAATTATTTTTCGGGCAATGTTTCCGTTTTCCTTTTACAAAATGTAATTCAGAACTTATGAAAAAAACCTTTTTTTTTGTACCTCTGTTAAAATACGGTTTCCCAGAAGAAGAATTTTCCGCATTTTTTGAACAAAATATTGATATTTTTCGGACGAAAATAACTATTTTTACAGGGAGTTTTTCTTCGTAACTCGGATAAATATTAAGTGTGCTCCTTCATATTAACTCTAACATGGTTTATGAATAAATGAATGTTAATGAAATCAGCTAAATCAGTTAGACTCCTAAATATTTTAGTACAAAATTAAAAAAATATATTTAAAAATGTTTAACAGAATCGAATTGCATTCCCCAAACAGCTCTTTATTGCTAAGAGTCTTCGAACTTAACCCAATACCCATTCTTCACCTCACAGCCTCTGAATTATGGAGCAGCCTCAAGTTTTCCCCAGTGCAGGTGCCTTTTGCTGCATTCAATAGGAGTTCCGCAGGACTCGCTGGGATTGGAAGTGGAGCATGCAAAGGCTTTTAATTTTGTCCCGCACGTGGCAGGTTGGCCACAAACAACGATAAAGGAAAAGGGGCAAGGAAAAGCTGAAGGAAGGCAAAGGAAACGGCAGAGAAAAGCCAGGTAGCGCAAAGTAAAAGGTGTGCGGCGCCATATTTCGCACATAAATTGTATGCCAGCAGCTCCGGATGCCCGGGTCCGGTTAAGAGGACCAAGGACCAAGGATGTAGGACGAAGGACGCAGGACTAAGGACGAGGCTGCACGAGATGGCGTCGCATGCATGGATGCATACGCAAAGCATTTACGCCAACGCCTCGACAGTCACGGACCTGAGAAAAGGCGAAGAGAATTGGAGAAATGGAGGAGGTTTGGAGGTGGAGAAGGAGAAAGGCACCCAGATGCCCCGCCCATTTATAGCCACATATGTGGGCGGCCGATCCGCAGGATTTGGCCAGGCTGCGTGCCACTGCATAAAATAGATTTCCATTTTGATTCGCTGGCAAGGAAAAAAATCATGGAAAACTTGCGGTATGCAAAGATATATCGAGATACCTTGGGATATAGGGTAGGTACCTTGATACTTTTATTAAAAAGTGTTAGATTTATCAAGAAAAATTAAACGTTCTCCAAAAAATATATACCTACAACATTTATGAGGCTTTCCTAAAGATTATTTTCCTACGCTTAACTTAATTTTTGGTAGGGTAGATTTTTTTTGTTTAATAAAATTACTTTATTTAATAATGAAAATATTTTTTAAATTCTTTCGCCTTTTCCTTGCTTATTTATCTACAGAAAATTAAATTATTTTTGTTTTAAAATATTTCTTTATTTTCTTGTGTATTGATTAAAAAATACAAGAAAATCTTTAATAAATTATTTAATAAACCTTCATGTTGTTTAAATAATTTCTTCACCATTTATTCCATTCAAATTATTCCATTATCCTGTCTGCATGGACATTTGCCGAGTTCAACCTGCAGTTCTTGCAGGACTTCCTTCCCGCAAAGGATCAATTAAGGCTCAATGGCAGGGGACAAGTTACCCTGGGAAGCCTAACACAATTTCCGTTCCGTTTTTCCATAGTGCATGCATTTTTTCTCCATCTCTGCTTTCCCATCTATTTTTTTCGCATTGGCCATATGTAAACCTTTGCAGGACTTAAAAAATGCCTCGTTGGCTGCGATAAATGTGCCCATGGCTCCTCGTTGTTGTGGTTTTGCCTTAGGACCACCCACTTAACCCCCCTCTACCCCCCTTATAAACACACACACACATACTATAGTTGTTGGCACACAACAACAGCAACACGTGCTGCTTTTTCTACGGTTCGGTATTTTGAATTTTTATTATTTGCAATTTGCGTTAATGTTGTGGAAAAAAGCATGTGGCTGTTATGGCTTTGGCTTTAGCTCATGTCCTACCCCCTTTAGCCCCTTCTACCCCCACCCCTTTCTTGGCATATTGAATGGCCATTTGTGTCACACACACACACAAACAGACACACACTTGCGTACACACGCACACACTAATGACCTTTTCATGGCCGCTCCATCCAACGGATGAATGCAAGAAATGTGGGCAAATTATGGGCCCGATTCAGGAGGTAGGATCCTTTCTGGATCCTCCGCCCTTTTCAGCCCTTCCTTGTTATTGACAAAATGATTTGTAAACATTTTGCGCATCATTAGTTGGCACTGCTCGGAAGATATGGCCTGCATTTACCCATTTTCCCATTTCCCCTGGCATTTAACCGATTAAAATCGTACATGCATCAAGCGAATGTCGTTTTCCCCAAGGGATCGGAGGGGAATCCCCTTAGCACGGTGAAAAATATGTGAAAATATTTGTACATTTTAATATATTTTTTAAAGTTTCTTAGCGAGAATACTACATCATTTTATTTTAATAGAACCCTATTATATATTTCCCATGTAAATAACATAAAGAGAATCCAATGTCACTTTGATTTATTTTTGTATTATTTAGTTAAATAAATTAGAGATCTGAAATCGCATTAAAATGTCCCTAAAATTATGCAGTAAATAAAAAGGGAATGTTGTCTTTTGTATACAAAATTGTTGCATAATTTGTGACACCTTTATAGGAGATTTCACACATATTTTAAAGATTACTGTTCAATGTGGACAACGATGTTAATATTATTGTAAAATATTTTTACATAAACTAATTTTATTAAGCTCTTAGTCCAATTTTCAATGCTTCTAGGTGTTTAAAATAAAATATTTTAAAACACCAGTCACATAATTAATTGCTGATTTCTTTCTCTGTGGCCTCCTTGCACCTGCTTAATGTTAAACTCTTTGCTGACACCGCAAAAAGAGGCAAAATAAAAATAAACTGCTTCCGGCTTCAATTGCATCAATGGAAATGGACGAGAGGAAGGAGGAGGAGTTGCCTTTGGGGTGAGGGAAAAGGAAACGAAATGAGGGGGAAAGGTGGAGGCCTGGCAAATATTTGCTTAAATTTGTGCTGAGGTTAAGCTTTTTGTTTGCCTTGCCTTTGCGGAGGCTCTCTCTTGGTGGAGCCAAAGCAAAAGCAAAGTTGATGACATCCAGTGGCCTCCGTCGCAGTCTGGGCCAGTTGCATCCATGTCCTGTGTCCCCTGACATAGAAAAATAGTTGTGGAGACTGAGAAATATGAAAGGGAAGGGGCGAAAACAGGGGTGAATCAGGGGTGACTCAGGGGCAGAAGCTGCGTTTTGACTGCATGCCAAGGCTGATACTCCACTGACGATGCTGATGACGCAAGCAGTCAACCATGCGAATGTGTGTGTTCGAGCATTGAGCAGTTATTCATGAGAGTGTGTGAGTGAAGCCCCTTCTCCTCTTCTCTTTACACACATGGAAAAATATCACAAATTTCGTATGGCATATATGTATGTTGTAGTGCATATAACCTGCCAGAGTCCAAACTTTATAGCCAATCAAGATGGAAGCTGATAAAGTCAAAAAGGCAAAAGTTATTAGCCAGAATTCCACAAAAGAGCTTCAAGAATATGGCTGGCAATCTTTTCAAGAAATGATTTTTTTCAGAAAAATGTTTCAATGTTTCTCTAAATTATATAATTTAATAACCTTTTACTTAAAGCATTTTAAAAATAAAGTACTAGATATTTCAAATCTTTTATCAAGGTGTCTAAAAGTATGCAGCACAAAAAAAGCTTCGCAATTTTATCTTTCCATATTTCTAAATTTATTTTATTAAAAATGTACATACTAAATACATTTCCTAAATAAGATTATATTTATACTTCAACATCAAAGATTAAAATTCCTTTCCTTTTAGGCTTCAAGATTTTTCCAGGGTCATCTGAATACCCAAACTCGCTGGCATTTTCCCACTTTTCTTCATTGTGCAGCAACTTTGAGGCCCCGGCCATTGACAAAAAAAGTTTGAGCTGCAGTCTGCAGTCCATAGACTGGTGGCCTTTTCTGGCAGTTATGACAAGTGGCCTCCAACTGGGCATTCAGCTAGTCCTGTCCACTGTCCACAAGTCCACTGGGAGTAATCGGGCATTATGCCATCCTTGCGTCACATAATTCTAGGCTGGCCACGATAATTGATACCCTTTGTCAGCTCTCGACGGCAAATCAAATTAGCAAACGGAATTGAAAACTTATTTATGCATGAGAGGCCCCGCTAATCATTTTTCCGAAGAGGAGAGGTGAATAGTGAGTGCAGGGGAGTAATTTAAAATTCAATTAACTAGACGCACAAACTGAAAAGGGCTTCCCATCCATACATACAGAGATATCCCTTCTATTCAAAGACATAATCATGTACGAATTGAATGATGAAAAGCCTTTCAATTCGGCTTCTTGGGGCGGCTTTTGTCTTAAACGATTTGTCCACTAAATGCATGATTGATTAAATGAAATAAAAGCCCTCAAACACACACACAGACACACACTTACGCACACCTGAAACCACAGATAGAATGCAGGATATTCAATGCTGTTGTTTGTGTGTGTTCATTAATAGGCTTTTGTCTTTGCTCACCGCAAAAATTATTGCTGCTCAAATGCACTTGAATGTGGCATTGTTTGGTCCTCCTCCTCTCCTCCGATTGAAGTGCATGCAGCTCAGACCGCAAAATCCTTAAATGCTGCATTAATGGCCACAGACACACTACCACACACGCACACACAAGGATCTCGGGCAAGCCGAGTGACCTCACTTCTGGACAGAACCAGTTCCCAACTCCATCCGCCCCTCGATGATATCACAAATTAAATACACTTGCACGTTTGCTTAACTCGAAATTCAACAAATATTGAGAGGGGGCGGGGGCAGGATGGCGGGGCGTGGCAGCTGCAGGATAGCTGTGGATAGCTGTGTAAGCACGTGTCTGGGTCGAGCACTTGACAATCAGCACTCACAACAGAACAGAACAGAACAGCCGGCAGTCGAAAGGCACTGGCAAAAAGGGATAGAGCCACGAAGGATTCGAGTTGAGAACAGTGGACCTTATTGAACAGAAAATTACATCGTTTGCCAGTCGTTGCCAATATGCGAATATAGCAAGTTATAAGGATTTTAACGATCTAGGTTTTCGAAAGGATATAAATTGGAATAGTAAAAAAGGTCATACTGGCAAGCTGAAAATTGAAATGGTTTGACAAAATTATTGCCTACTTCTATGCTTGGAAATGAATAGTAATAATAAATGTGACAAAAACATTGCCTACTTTTTAGAGTCTTAAAAAACGACAGTTAGATATTATCGAATCGATATGGTCTAAATATAGAAAGTATCGATCATCAAGGTATACTTTTTTGGGATTATAAATGTACACAAAAATATAAACTATTTTATAGGTATATTATTTATTTAATAAAATATTTTATTTAATTAAAATCTGTTATTTTTCCCAATTGTTTGGAACCCACTGTCCCAGAGTTCTGGGCCCAGATGGGCCTCAGCCTCCAGCTCGTCTTGGCTGTTGGCTTTTGGGATGCCGATTGCGAGATGCCGCCATTGTCATTGCTTGTTGCTCTCGCAAATTCGCCGCATCCCTTATCCCTTGGATCCTCGAAATCGACATCGGGGAACGAGGAATATTGACACTGCGGGCAGCTGTTAATACAAGGCAAACTCTACAATTTCGCCTGCCATCCTATATCTAGCCAGCCGTAGCTGTTGTTTTCGTTATTCTCGACCAGAGTTTGCACGTATTATGGCATGTGTTTATTTGTCAACATCGCCAGTGACTCCCCTTCTGTATCATCACTTTACTGCCCACTTAAAGAGGCATAACTGTTGCAGCACACACGGCGTATGATTAATTTCGCCGCCTGCAATCCATCAATGCACGAGTTTTTGGCACTCTCTTCATGCGGCAGTTTAAGCATAACGATCTGACATTTTTCACATTATTAAAATCACTTGCGAAACGAAGAGTGACGAGTGAGCGCGGAAAAGTTTAATGGATAAAATATCACGCATACGCAGCGTGTGGCGTATATGGCGTTAAGAATGATTTGTTTGCCATAAGTGCAAACCATTTCCTTATAATTTTTACTGCAGTATCGAGACATGATGTATGGATGGTGGTGAATTTTGCGTTGGTAAAAAATAAAAAAGGATAGAAAGGAAAAGCGAAACTTACCGGTGCACATAGGAAAGCCATTTCGTTGCCAGTCCCGTGAAAAAAATGAGAATTATCCTACGTTCCTTCGGCTGCTGTGCTTGCTGTTTGCTGACTAAAGAACTTTCGGACTCGGGCTCAAAATCCACCGCAGTCGAATCCAATTCTTCCTTTCCTATTTTTCCTTTATTTTCTGGCACAGCTGCTTTTCGCCTGGCAAATGATAAAAACTGGCGACGCACTGCTAGAAAATATGCATTTTTAATGCCATAAATTAGTTTTGTCGTTTGCCGAGCACCGGGGAGCTGCAAAGAGAGAATAAAAAGCGAAAGAAATGAGTCAGAAGTGCGGGAATGAAGCCAGCTTAGCACTGCAAACTGCACAGCTCTTTTTTTCCGACGAGTTGGAGTTTACTTTCAAAAGGGGACTCTACTGACTGTATATTCTTAGCACTAATCACCTGATTCCATTAGCACACCAGCTTTAAATTTTTGCTTTTAGCCAAAGTGTTTCTCTTTATTATAAACCGTACGGTTAAAGTTTATAAACTAGGAAAATAAAAGGAGAGGAGAGCTTGTGGGGGAAGAAGTTTTGCTTAAACTGCTTAAGCAGGCTTTAAAATATGGAAAATAGTTAGACAAAAATAAATTTAGCTACTTAGAAAATATAAGGAAAATATAAAGGTATCTAAAAGTGTGCAATAAAAAATAATTTCTAGGTGTTCTTCCTTTAAATAACATTGTTGCATACCATTAAGCACGTTTAGAAATGATTTTAAATCTCTAGTGGAAAAAAATTAATCTTTTTTCCATTTTCAAACAATTTTAGATGAAGTTTATTATTAAAACCCTTATTTAATAATTTTAAAGGTTCTCAAAAGTATCCATTTTAATGACTCGACGCTGCAATTTTGGTTGCTGGGTAATTCACACTCTGGTTAAAGGTTAAGGGCTTTTGCCGAATTAATTTGCAATGTTTATTCCCGGCTTTAAGCAACTGGCTGACATGCCAAGCGGCAAAATCACACAACCGCATTGAAATTAATGCTGTCAGCACTTCGGTGGGGGAACTCGTTGCTCCTCAATCCACACCTTTCCCATCCTTTTGCCTTTCTCCCACAGGTGTACGGCTGCCAACTGGCAAAAGTCAAATTAAATTCTATTTTTAGTCACCCAAATGCTGGCGAACCCATTTCCCATTTTCCATTTCAGTCCCCCCTCTCGCAGCTTTGTTAATTACTCCATGAATTTGATAGTTTTCCATCAGTGCGGATCACACACGGGCCTGACGACGATGATGATGATGATTATGGGGAAAATGAATATGCAAATGGGGGAAAACCGTGCGAACCGAGTGTGTGTGTTTTGGTGAGTGGTGTTTTGTGGCAGCGAGCAAGACGAGAGCTCTTGAGTATATCAAATTTTTCGGGGGTTGCGGCCCCACAGTTATGGATACCAATTAGAATCTGGTTATCTGCCATCGAGCGGAGCAACGATTCGGGGCTGAATTCGCTGCTGAAGCACAAAACTGAACAAGGAAAATCTCTTGCAGCCGAAATGAGCTGGAAAATGCGAGGGGAAGAGGTTGGGGTAAGGCGAAACAGCCTGCAGTGAATGTGAATGCACTGGAGAAAATTATCGAGTTGTGTTAAGAATTTTTATATGGTTCAGATATGCATATAAATTATAGGGAGTAAGTGTTTAGTTCATGCAGAATTTTTAAATCACCTCATAAGGTGTCTAAAAGTATGCTACAATATATTTACAGTCCTAAAGTCTTAAGGAAATATTTATTTACTTTTGTAAAGCATACTTTTAGACACGTTTTAAAACTATTTAAATCACAGAAGCCTAATAAATGTAAAAGATAAATAATTGGAATTTTAAATGTTTTTTTTAATTTTATTATTTTTTAAAAAATCTATAAAAAACTTATTACGTTTTTCTTTGTGTAAAACGGTTTTACTCGAAACTTGGCTCCGCATCTCGGCTAATGATGCGCATGATGTGGCGGCATTGTCCTCGTCTTTGGGCCCCTTTTCCCTCACCCTCCCTACAGAACCATCAACTTCACTTCATCAGCATCAGCATCTGCATCTTCATCTGCAGGACTGCATTTCCCCGGCCTTTGTGGCACATTTAAAGCCGACTCGGCTTGACTTCGCTAGATGGATGGCTTGGGTTGGATAGAGATGGCCACCAACTGTGCGCTGCACCGCATGAAATTAATATTAATCGCAGCTATGCATTAAAGCCGCTTTCGGCTTCTAGATTTTCCGCTCCTGTCCTTTGTTGCAATGTGTTTATTGTGAGTTTTATTTATTGCTCTGCGGTCGTGGCGGTTATTAAAATTGCGGCTGGCAATTTGTAATCATTAGGCATTCTCGCTGCGGCTGTCTCTTTTCCGCCTTCGCCCCCACTCTTTCTACCTTCTACATTCTATGGGTAGAAATATATATATTCTACTTTCACCGCTTTCGCTTTGCACACTTTTGGGCGCCCATTTGACAGGCGGCTGACAAAAGTCAGTGACATTCTAGCCAAGCTAATACCCATGCACTTATGCAAATCTCACACAGACACTCCAACCTCAAAAAGAGAAAGAGATGGGGATAGATGAGAAGAAGAAAGAGACGGCAGACAGGACAGAATAGAACAGCCTGGCATCGCCATTTGCACATTTAACGTTCTCGCAGTCCCTCCGTTCTCTCCCTTTCTCTTTCGCCCCCTCTATTGCCATCTCTTTCGCCCCCCAATATACCCATCTCGCTCTGCTGTAGTTGTAGTCGTGGCACAAATTTAAGTGGCCACTTGACTAAATTAATATGACACTGCAGCAAGTGCAAGTGGCCAGGACTTTCATTCTCGTCCTTTTCCCACCACCCACTTTTATCTGCCGCTCGCCCTGACTTTCGGTGGACAATATGAATAATTATGACGTTTAACTACTGCACCTGATTTGCACATGGAAAAAATAGAGAAAGAATGAATAGCAGATATCTCCTTAATTTGCACTTGAGTCCACTTTATTAAGGAAACGCGTTAAATTGATGATTAAGTTTTAACTAAAAAGTTTCCATGGTATTTAGTTGTATTTTTTACTTTTTGAATACCACATTCCCTTCACTTTGCACCCAAATGGATAGATTTATTGCGCAGAATACGAGTTGTTATTGCCTACAAATTACGAAAATGGTTACAAATCAAGAAAATATTTAAAAAAAACCATCAATTAGAAGGAATAATTATTCCATTTTCAAAGCAAATTAAGTTTTCAGCAGAAGGAAAAATTCTTAAATGGCGCATTCAAATTTTTAGCTTAAAATCCCTCATGATTTCTCAAATTTAATGCACTCCATTCTCCCTCATCTTCAGTTTGCTCCTCCAATCAATAGAACCTATTCAAAATTGCAAAGCAAGCACTTCCCTTTGCTGAATTTGCATCCAATAATTTACGAAGGCACTTGCCGCCCTCCAGAAGTATTCATCAGCACATGTGTCGTCTTCTTCTGTCAATTGCCTTAAATGCAATTTAATTTTCCACCTGATGATGTCCTGTATGTGGGGCCTTTGCACTTACGTGTCCCTTCCTATCACAACAACAACAGAAAAACCTCTACGCTACTCGCCAAAAAGAAGAAGAAAATGAGAAAATCCCAGCTGGATTGTCGCCGTTGCAAACTCACATCTCACATCTTTCTTTTTTCTTCACACAGCCTGCGTCCTTCGTTTTTTGTCCTTTTGGCCTCCACCCACTGGAAAGGCTCAGGCCAACCGCCATTCAAGTTTCCCCCCTTTTCCCCGTCCATGTCGTTGTCACACTTGGCTCGCAGTTTTGTGGCCAGGCCAGGGCTATGAAAATAACCATAAGGCAATTGCCCGGGCGGGTTACATGATATGCTGCCCCCCTTTTTGGGGACACGAACCCCCGTAGCCCCCGTTGCCCCCTCTCCACTGCGGTGGCACTCATAAGCCTTGAATGGTAAATGTCAAAGTTACTCCTTAGCGTAACATTCGACACATCGGGCGTTGAGGTGTGAGTGGGTACCAGTGTGTGTGGGTGTGCGTGGGTACACTCATACATACACTGAGGTCAAAACCAAGGAAGCTAAGGAGTTGGGGCTTACATTTCTGAGGTTAATTCTTGTAAAGTTTATTTATAACTTACATTATAATTACAAGAAAAGGACATGCAATTTCGTACTTCAACATTATAATAAAAAATGGTAATTTATAAAAACAATTTATATTTTGGAGTATATTTTTTATTAAATTACAAATATTAAAAAAGAATAACTAATTAAAAAAAAACCCCTAAATAGTGTCTAAAAGTATTCTGTGAAAACTATGAATTATCTAGGATTTTATTCTTTTATCATAGCATTCTTTTAGTCACCTTTAAGAAAGGTTTTAAACCTCAAAAGATTCTTGTAACATCCCTGCATTTCGTATTATCGAACGTATTTTACACTTAACTAAAATTTTAAAGTTTTTATTCCGAGTTAATTTAGATCGTTCGTTGGTCAGATTTAAACCCATATATAAAAATTGTACCTATTGTATTTCACATAAAAATAGTTTAAGGATAGTTCAAAATGTGTATGGGACAGCCTTGTATAATATCTTGTATTGATGATCCCCTGACTCATAAGACCTATATATTGTTCCCCCTTTTCCCGCAGTGCATGAGGACTGGGGATCCCAGCTTCATTCTGTGCCCAGCCTGGATTACATTACACTAAGTTCTGTGCAAACACAGTTGGCGCAGTTCATTAACATGTTACATGGAGTTCGGTCGGTCTGGGGACTCCGACGACTCCGACTCAGTTCCACTTTGGATTTAGGATGCAGGATGTAGGACGTAGGACGCAGGACGCAGGATGTAGGATGCTCTTTGGGTCTGTGTTTGTCTGTGCAAATGTATGCGTAAGCACAATATGCCAGCCTATCTGGCTTTCTCAGTGTGTGAATGTGAATGTGTGGAGGAGTAGTCTGTATGCTTTATGCTTTCTTTTTCCCATTTTCCTCGATGCGGAAGTGTTGCCCCAGCAGCCGCCCCCACGTTCCACTTGAAAGTGGAGCGGCTCAAAGGCCGTGGAAACACGCCCAGTGTTTCGAGTGTGTGTGTTTTAGTCTAAGCTGTGCATTTAAATGTAAAGCATAAATAATTAACAGACCTCAGAGTTCAGAGCCGGGCTTTGCTTTCACGAATGCAGCTCGAAGGGCGGAACCTCTTCTCCTAATTAGGCGTTAGGGTTTCTGGATCATCATCAGTTGCTCTATTCTCCAGTTAATTTGCAGTTTTA